GCACGTTATCCGCGCCCATCACCCGCACCGTGGGCCGCCCAAATAGATGTGTCTTGTAGATGAAGCCGTATTTTCTGCGCTTCATCTGCAGAAACTTCCTCCGCTGAGAGTGAGGTGGAAGAGAGAGACCGGCAAACCGCGTGAGGGGGCGCCGGGGAGCATCTGGCCACCGCCTAGCCCCTCTTTTCGCCTTAGTCGCCTCCCTCGCAAGGACACTTATCCCAGCTTCAGCCCAGGCCCAGAGCTGAGGCGGAAAATCCTCCGGGAAATCCTCAGGTCCCTTCCCGAGCTCCCTTACCTGCAGCACCATCTGCAAGGTTTCCCCAAAGAATGGGAAGCCCATGGTCCCGGGGGGCAAAGGGAGGGCGCAGCTGCGGTCGCGGCTGCTCACACAGTACAAGTACCAGAGCTTAGTCGCTGCCAGGAAGAGCAGCAGCGGCAGCACGAAGGTGCAGAGAGCACTGGCCAGCAGCGCCGGGAGCCCCATGGCACGCAGCAGCCTCCGCGCCACCTGCCGCCGCCGCCCTCGCTCCGAACCCCGCCGCGCGCCCTCTTTATAGGCCGCCCAGGTTACTGCCCACGTTACCTTGGTCAGACAAATTAGTTCACCCAAAGTTCATCTTTAATTGCGGATCGGGCCCCTAGCTCCTCCCCCCGCGAGGCGCTGCCCAAAATCTTTAACCGTTTGTTCCGCGCCCAGGCAGAGGCGGCGCACTGGCGGCTTCCCCGGGAGCGCGCCTCCTGGGGTGCGGGGCTAGGAACACCGCCTCCCCTATCCCGGGTGTGCGGAGCTCCGAGTCAGCAGGGAGCGGTCGGGAGCTGGAGGGAGCGGGTTGAGGATCTGGGACTTTGGAGTCCTAGGCTTTCTAGCTGTCTTTTGGTTGTCCTACGGGCTGCCCCAGCCCAAAGCAGCCTTCCTGACTTTCCATTCAATGGCGCCACACGGTTTGGAGAGCGTGTTCAGAAATCACCATTCAGTGGACTTGACCCACAGGTTGGGTAAATGAGATCCCAAACACTTCCTGATCTGTGAGGATCCTAAGAAGATCCCAGGGCTAGGGTCCAAGCCGGAGCATCGGAGGTCAAGTACGACTGACAGATCGTTGATCCCGCAAGTGAGTCAGCGCATGAAGTCTTCGGAAGAGGTGCTTTAGGATTCAATTGCAAGAAAGCCTTTGGGTCTCTGGGACCCCAGGAGCAGCCTTGCACAAGCCCGATTTCCCTACTCTGCAGCCCAGTGGTGTACTAAAGAGCCCAGCGGCTCCAAAGTCGGTGCCCAGCTGTGGTGATACCGCCAAGCTGGCTCAAATCCTATGGCCCTGGGGCTAGCAAACCCAGCCAGGCAGCCGGGAAGAGGGCCCCTGGTCCAGGCAGATAAGGGGAGGAAGACAGAGGGAGGAAACCCAGGAGTCCCGTTCCACCGCGGAGTGCCTGACTCTTGGGCGAGCTAGCAGGCTTCCTCCTGTCTGCGTCCCTTCCTTAGGAAGAAGGCTATCATTTCCACTGTTTCCACTCTGTCTACACCTCAAGGCAGCTGTGAGGTCACAAAGAGGGCTTCTGCTTCCAAATGGCTCGTTTAGGCTACATTTATAGACCGGTCGGGCTTCAAGACTTCAGAACCTTTCTCCAGTCTCCCAGATCCCACCCAAAGAAAAGCCAGAGACCCTGGTAAGATGGCTATTTGACCCTATGCTTCTGCCACCAGCCATAGGGAACTTAAAAGGAATCGGTATTGGGGAGCAAGTCTCAGTTCCTGCAGCCAATACTGAGCTGTGGGACCCACGCACACACACTCTGGGCTTCCCGTGATCTCCTGCCAGCCGCATCGCTTCAGCCAGTGCCATACACTGCCTTGGTTTGGGCACTGAACTTACCAGCGGCGTGGAAAACAAACAGAATGACGCGTATTTGTTTAGACCTGAACACGGGATCTAGCAAAAGCACACCCGCACCCCTTGGGAAGAGTCCATTGAAGATGAAAAACTAAAGCTGTTCAATATGTGGCCTGCCAGTGGTGGTCCCCAAATGAGACCCACCTCCGACCCCGCCCCCGCCCCCGGGGGGAGTCACAAAATACCCGCAAACGTCGTGAGGACCTGTACAAACCTAGCGACTCTCTAAGCCAGAATGCCTACGGGTTGTATTTCGGAGATTCAGTGGCTCCTCATAACTCTGTTCAGTGTTTCAGAGACTCTCGAGAGGCGGGCGCTGCCGCTGTCATATCTTGTAATGATTTGGTTATTGTAAGGACTGCGTCCCAGCTTCTGCACTGGCAGGAACGCGGACAGACTGTGCTGGAGGTAATTCTCAGAAATCTCCGCCCGCCCCTTTCTGGAGAGCGCCTCCGGGCCGGTGTGCAAAAATCGGCCAGCGGGGGCGTGACCTGGGGCCCGTTCCCAATCCTTTAGCCTGACCCGCCTGTGACCCCTGCAGGCCGGACCGTGACATCCCAGTGAACTCTGCCGGGCCACCCCACCAAGTTCAGCGCACGCTAGGTCAAAAGAGGAGCCCCGCTCGCGCGCGCTGAAAATGGCTACAGGGTAAAAACCTAGTACTTAAAAAAATAAATTGAAAAAAAATTTAACTGGTCATCAAGATACGCGGGGCGCCTGGCAGGGAAACACTAAATGTTAGAATGCAAGATCGTTTAAAAACTTCTTCAAGGGGGAGAGGGCATCAATAAATTACCAGCCCAACAGGAACTTTGATCTAGGAACTACCCCAGACTTTATTGGATGGTGGTGGGTGGGGAAGGGGAGGTTGGTTCTCTGAGAAACCAAATGTTCACCATTTTGCTAAGGGTTGGGAGCTGTGGGATCAGGTTTGTGGTGGCCCTCGTTTCTGTTGTTTTGCTTTTGCTACAGGAAACTGGTGCAGGAATCAAATGACCAGCACACACTCCTCCTGGACTCTCCCTTCAGCCCCATTTAGCTTCCCCTCTGGTCTCTGGTCCCCAATGCTGCTTGGGGACTGAGGCCAAAGTGGACAAACGCCTACGTCACCTCAGACTAGGTTCTTTGCCCAACTGTCAGCATTTAGATTCACTCTGAGTTAAAGGCCTGTTTTGTTTGGGGGTTTGGTGGTGGTGGTGATTTCTCTCTATTTCACACCACTGAGCATTCTTGTTTTGTTTTGCTGGTTTATTTATTGTCTGCCTCTTTCTGTAAACATCGGAAGTCCAAGGGGCAAGAACTACATCTGGTCTTTCCCTACGAACGTGCAGTTGCTAAGCTAGGAACCTACGTGTCCCTCGATAGTATGATGAAAATGAAGGGAAACAGAAAAACTGGAGCCACTTCCCTGTGTTTATCATCGGTTCGGTACCCCAAAGCGAGTCAACCAGTCTCTTTGAACCAGTTTGTCCACAGGCTTCTGAAAGGCACCTCCCCTGTTTTTTTTTTCTCCCCAAATCAGAATCAGCTTTGAAGCAGGGTCTTTTGGCCTCCTCATCCAGACGCAGGTTTCTTAGATGCCCAAGGTTGTAGGCCTGCACCGTAATGCCTTTGCTCCCCCTGGTGCCAGTAGAGCTCAGGCCCTGGCCTTTACTCTGAGCAGCTGCGGGTGATTGACTAGCCTGTATAGGGGGTATGGTGGTGTGAATCCCAACAGCTGCTCACCTTCAAGTACCTACTTATGTCCCCCTTGACTTCAGGCCCCAGGATCCACGTTAAGCATAAGGTCGGGAGGCCACCAATTTCCTCCTGATTCATTACAGAGGCAGCCTGGGCCAGGTTGCAGGCTCCCTGGCTCATCAGTTAAGTCCTCTTGCCCAGGAGTGTGGGAATGTGGGTGGCAGGTTGAGGGAGGCGTTTGGGAATGATGGTAGGATGATAGTGGTTTTGATTTAAATGGCGGTGGAAATCTCTGAACTGGAAAGGACAGGCAGGCTGTGAAAAGCGCAAGGGCTGAGTTCCACAGGTGGCACGGGCTCAGAGGGAGGGCGGAGGGAGGGCTGAGTGATGGAAGAGGGGGTGCAGGACCACAGTGGCTCCTCGGTGATAAGAGGCCCCAGGTTCTTTGATTCGCAGTTTCTCCTTGGTAATAGTGAGGAGAGAGAAGCAGCAGCAGAGCAACTCTGCAAGCCGAGGTTGCAGAGATAATCTAAAACCCAGAATCCAGATCCGTGGCCCAGAGGGAAGCATGGGCTGGGGCTGCCAAGCTTCCAGACCCTCCGGGTATAGGCTACAATGGGTCGGTCCTTCAGTTAAGGCTCTGTACCACACACACCCGGCACCCCTCGCCACCCCAGCCTCCTTACTCAACCACTGGCAGGAAATGTTTTTTCTTGGCCTTCCTGTTTCAGTACAAATATCTCAAATCTCTTGTTTATCTCAATGAAGGGATTATGTCTCAACCTCACATACACCAGACTTAGAGACACCTGCAGAGAACATAGCCTCTCCTGTAATCTTGAAATAGGAATTTTTCTCTTCAGACGTCTCCAACAGAATCTGCTGATGTTGAGCCAGTTGGAGCCCTGGAAGCATCTACGGTACTTAATTTCTGCCAAGGCTCTAGAAGCCTGAGGGCAATTGCTGAGAGTGTCAGGGATACCCTGGTATCTCTGCTAACTTAAAATTAAATTGTAAATTCTCCTCTGGTTTGATACCAACACCCAACCATCACCACTGCCGCTGCCGCCGCCAGGGCCCCAAGTTTCTTGCCAAACTTGTCACAGGAAGGTGAAGCCAGGTTTCCTGTAGTGGAGATAGGTTCTCTCCACCGCTGGCTCCTTGAGATCCTGGAAGCATCTACGGTGTGAAGCACGCTTCCCGCGCTAGCCTCGCTGCTCTCCTTCCCCAAGCCCAGGGCTTCTCCAATGCAGGGTGGGGGTGGGTGGGTAGGGGCGTGACTCAGTCTAATACTCATTCCAATCTAGCACAGAATTGTCTGGTGAGCTTTTGTTAAACCCAAGACTACTTAAATGTGCGTGCGATGAGGCCCTAGGGCGCTGAAGATGGCCAGCGCTGGGTGTGCGCGGCAGCCACGGGGCAAGCTAAGGCTAGAGGAGCAGCGAATTAGAGGTGCAACCCATCCCCCGCACAAGTCGTGAGAGGGTGAAAAAATAGTCGCAGCCCGTCCACTGGGTGCACGATGGGCACCGTCTGCATGACCGGAAAGGCAGGTGTAGCCAGCTCCCAGCGCGCCGTACGCACCAGTTCCACGGCGAGCAACTGCAGCACCGCTTGCGCTAACTCTTTGCCCAGGCAGCTGCGCGCGCCGCCGCCAAACGGGATGTAGTGGAAGCGGCCGCAGGAGCCGGGCGCGTCCTTACCCTCCACGCCAAAGCGCTCCGGATCGAAGCCCTCGGGCGGGCTACGGTACACAGCAGCTGTCTCGTGCGTGTCTCGGATGCTATACATCACGCTCCAACCTTTGGGGATCTGGTAGCCCTGAGAAGTGAGGGGACCCGACTTGATCGCTAGGCACCGGGAAATCGCCAGAGCCAACCCCCACCCCACCTCTGTTCCCCAGACGTGCCAAGTAAACCTCCAGGGGCCTGTGATGAACTAACCCTGAAGGCAAAATATCTGCTTTGCGGTTTCTATGCCTTCCTAATGAGCTGTAAGATCTTGGAATGCTTGTGCTTAGTTGAGAAAGTAAGAATAAAAAATATCCACGGTGTTGAGAAAATTCCAAAAGGAGACTGACACACATCAGTGCCCATGAATTTGAATATTATGAGTTTGTTGTCTTTCTCTGTTTTCTTCTGACACAGGAGATTTACACTGTAAGACTGTAGCTACCAGTTGCCTGGGCTGAAGCAGGGAACCGTCGCTCCCCTGGGACAGCTGAATTAGAAAACTCTTCCCTGCATTTAACTGAAGACTTCCCCACCTTTCCACTTCACCTCGACCGACACAACCGACACAATAACGCGACCTTGCTTCACACTTTAGAAGATGCACATCCCTTTGTCCACTCCACCCTCCCATCCATCCTGACCCTCTCTGGCCACCTGCTAGGTATTGTCAACTCAGAGCCTCATCCACACTAGGAACATTGACCGACATTCCCAGCCCTTTGGGTTTTTTCCTGGTCTCCCAATCCCTGAACGACAATGTTAACTGTCCCTCCAAAGATGGCAGTTTTCTGAAGGCTGTGGAAGGTCATTACTATTCAGGTTCTCACTAGTGAGACAGAACACACTGGAATCACCCAAAGAAAGTTCTTTCCTCTCCAGTTCTGTTTCCTGTTTCCCGTCTGTACAACGGAGGAGGAGGAGGAGGAGGAGGAGGAGGAGGAGGAGGAGGAGGAGGAGGAGGAGGAGGAGGACCTGCCCCTGTGCTCCACCTACAGCCCTGGAAACTGCCTGGTCCTCTGCTGCCCTCTGTTCACTGGGCACACAAGCACAGCAGGATCAAGTTTAAACACACCAGACACTTCTGAGCACCAGCCCTTGGCTGGCAGCTCCCCCACCCCACCCCACCCCACCGCTGTGGCACTCTCTCCTTGTTCCAGCCCTTTGGCTGGGATCACCCAACCCTAGAGATCTCCTAGCTTCACTCCTTGGTCTTGGTACCTCCTCTCTGCATGGAACCCCTCCTTTTTCAGTGCCCCCCAATACTGCAGCAAAGCCATTCAGGCAGAGATCCTCTACAGTGTGAACTCCCCAATCCTCAAAGCTGTCAGTTCATCAAACATTCCCAGGAGTATCGGAGCTGGGAAAAAAAAATGCCCTCCCAGAAGCTAAACTGAGACCCCCAATAAAGGGAGAACTGTCCCCATTGTTCTAAGATGCAGTCAGGCCTAGTTCTTAACCTTGTCCAGTCAAGGGCAGCCTGATGAAACCATTAAGATTTTGTTCTTTGTATTAAGGCAGATATATTGCCTAAGCGCGAGTCCTGGACAGGTAACAGTGGCTGGTTCTTTAGTCTCGTGGGGAAACTAGAGAAATAGTTCTTTGCTTCCCAGCTACACACACTGGCTGCGAGGGAGGTGCTCAGGTAAAAATGTCAGCGTTCTAAAATTCCGTTCTAGCTGGATCGCTAACAAAAGCTGAAGTATACTTTATATAAGTATTCCTACTTCTGTATACTATATATAACATTTCTAACTTCGCCAGTCCTTCAGGCACCAGGCTTTGCATCTCTCTACTGGGGTTGGAGGAAGGAAAGTCCGGGGGAATAGAATAGGGCTCCGCCCATTTTACAGCTACAGGAGGGAAAACTGAGGCCCTGCTAAGGGAAAGAGATCTCTGCGCTAATCTCCCTGCCCTTCTCCCAGCCCAGCGTCGCTGCAAGCATCCAGAGGCCCGCGGCGCGGCGCACTTACGTCCAACTCAAAGGTTCGCAGCGCAGTGCGGTAGCCCCCGGACACCGGCGGTAGGAGGCGAAGCACCTCCTTGACCACGCAGTCGACGTAGCGCAGACGGCCCAGCGCCGCCAGGCTAAGGTCCGGCTCACAGTTGCAGTCCAGTCTGGGCCCTGTGGCCTGGGGTGCACAGCCGCACGCGTGCCCCAGCCCCTGCGCTGACAGCTCCTGCTGGATCTTGGCGATGGCCGCCGGGTGCTGCAGAAGCAGCAGGATGAGCGACGTGCTTGCGCTGGCCGTGGTGAAGAAGGCCGCGAAGAGGAGCTCCACAGCCGACTCCTGCAAGACAGCCGGGCGGTTCTGAACCCACTGTGAAATGAGTCCAAATTGATCTCTTGTGCTCAGACTAGCGCCTTGATGCCCTGCCCCGGGCGGCTATGCTCAGGGCTCTGAAATCGGTCAAAACTCAGGTCTATCACTTGGAAAAGTCCTGTTGAGCAATAGGCAAAGCCGATCATCTGCACACGCCCGCTTTGGACGAGCTCTCAGAAGCGATACAGGGATGTTATTCTGTGCAGTATTTTCAGTGCTTTAGACATAGTAACTTGTTAGACTCTCACCTCACCCCACGGGGAGCAATTGCTGCTCTCATTTTAGGAGAGGTTGAAAACTGAGGTTCTGGGCAGGCTCCAGGTCCCTAGAGCTAGAAGTTCCAGCAGGGAGTCTGTGGCTTGATCCCCCACCCCCACCCCACCCCGTTCTCTCTCTGTTCCCTCACCGCCCCCAACCCGTGATGCTTCAAACAGAGGCACCTGTAGTCCGGCACCAGCTCCAAAGCTCCGGAGGGGCTTTACCTTCTTGCTTACCTTTTCTGTCCTGCTTTGCTGAAGGGCAGTCGCAGGCGCCACCACCTGCCTAAGTACCTTTCTTCAGCGCAGCACCAGGGCTTGTTGTGCATGCGTTTCTCTGAGACCACAAGGTGAGCGTTACCCACCCACTCAGCCTAGACCCTGAAACAGATGGCACCCATTCTGCACCCCAGCCCAAAATCTGGCACTGAACACGTACATGATAATCTTTGTGGACTGAAATACGACCTGGCTGGAGACCAACCGCTGGTCCTACCTTGGACAAAATGAGGCTGAGACGGAGACCGCAGAGCCCAGACATCCTCTCTGCCCAGCTTAGCCAATGGGCCCCTTCTCCAGGGTCTTGTTACTCCTAGTTGGCATGAACTACCCACTTCCGTCTGTGCTACTTCCCTTCATAGGCCAGGACTGTCTCAGGTACTCAGCTCCCCAGGGCTCAACGTCTGTAGAACACTTTCCCCTGGAGCATTTGGTGCCTTCGAACTTCACACCCCTCAAGAAGAATGGAGAGCATTCCCTTCTCAGTGCAAGAACTAAAGCTGGGCTCCCGTTTTCTAGTGTCTAGCTGAAGAAGCGTGGAGGAAACTGAGGCTCAGAGCACGGGAGAGTAACTCACGGGGAACTGAAGTCTTCACATTTCTGAACGTCGCTGACCCTCTATCCCACTGCTTCTTGCCTTCTGAAGCAGGGCCTCCAGTCACCCACTACGCATGCTCTGCCTATGTGGGAAAGGATTCTAATTCTACGGGGGCTCAGCAGCAGGGGCAAAACGGGCAGGTCGAGGTGCCAGGTGCCAAATAAAAAAAAAGAAGTATTGATTTGGCAAGGGGGAATGTAGTTCCGAGGATGCAGAGTTTGATCATGAGCCTCAGAGTGCAGAGGGAAAAAGCACGATTCATAGGTAGGAAGACAGCAGAGGCGGGAAGAGATGGGGGTCTCGGAGGGGCCAAGAGGAGAGCTATCTAGATCCAGAACCTGTAAGGCCAGACTTAGGTTTTGGTGCTGCTGGAAAAATGGCTATAGTCCAAGGTGTCACAGCTGGCAGATGTGGCAGAGTCATGACTGGAACCCAGGCCCTTCTCTTTCACCCTGAAGTGTGTCTGTGTCTCCAAGTGGTGTTAAACAGGACATGACTGGGACCTCTGGGGAAGGAAAGTGGGGAGAGGGAGGAGTGGCCTCCCATCACCTACCTACCTTCAACTCCTGCACAGAGAGCTCACGGCCCAGCTCCCTGGCGCTGGTAATGATCAGGTGCAGGGCATCACCCGGCTCTGCTGCCTGCTCCTCATGAAGCTTCCCAGCAATGGCCTCATCCAGGTGCCGATACAACTGGTCCCTGGCCCGGATGCCCTGACGTACAGGGAGAGAGGGTAGATGGGGTGGGAAGACTCAAGAGCCAGACTTGGCTATCTCGATTCACCTAGATTTTGGTGTTAGTCTCAGCTTAGCTACACACATAGCCCGTGGTAGGCATGGCTCAATAAATTGTCATAGATTTATTCACTGTCTACAAATACTACCCTGTCTTGGTAATTATCACCAGCCTCCTCTGGCAAGGCAGTTAATGTCACCCCCGAGGGCAGAACACAAAGCACTGAGGGGTCAAACACTTGTACCCTCACACAGCGGCAGTGCCCATACCTGGCACAGAACCGGCAAGCTGCACTTAGCCACTCCCCTTCCCTGAACTCAGGTAAGGCAGTGAGCATCAGTGCTAAGAAAAGGAGGCACCTGGAAAACTCCACTGAGGACACTACTGTATGTTCTAAACGTTAGCTGCTGTCAGGGGTTTGGACAAAGGGGTCAGGGATGACTCTCCAGAGTTCAGGAAGCAAGACCAATCAAAACATCCCGCTGGGGAAGCATTGAAAGCGAACGCTTGAGTTTTGTAGCCAGAAGAATGTTGTTCAGATCGCGACTGTGTTCTTGCTTGTCTCGTGACTTCAAGGAGGCCTGCTTGCCAATAAAATGAGAACAACACTTTGCGGGTTGCAAGGACTAAACCAGAAAATGTATGCAAGGGTGACCAGCACGCAACAAGATTCTTTTCAGATTATTATTTTTATTCAAGTGACTGGACGCTCTACGGCAGAGGGAGAGTGAAGGCAAGACCCAGCTTCCTTTAGTTCTAGGGCCCCGCCCATCACTCGGAAAAGGCCTTTCTTTTCTGGTCCGGAAACCAGCGGGCCCAGGGCCGCCGGCCGGGATCATCCCCTAGATCAGACCCGGCGCCGGGCTTGTCTCAGCCCTCCGGCTCCCGCGCGTTCCGCAGTGCCAACCTTCCGTAGGATTTCCAAAGAGACTCTAGACACTTTGAGAAAGGATGGACCGCCTGCCTGGATGCCTGCCACTAGACCCAAACTCAAGAAGGATACACTGGCATGAAAGCGTGAGTCAGGGGCGTCCCATAAACGACTTGGGGCCTGCCCCGTGTCACAGTGTGTCCGAAAAGATGCTGCCCTGATCTCCACCAACCACCACCCCACCGTACGCTGGGCCACGCCCTGGGTCCAGGGTACCCCGTCTGGTTTGGGAGACTCTCTGGAGCCCTGGGCAAAGGTCTGGAACAGCATTACCTTGCGCAGGCCGCTGAAGGGCACGTCCAAAGGCAGTGAGAAGAGGTTCTCCACCAGCTGCTCAAAGGTCTGGGCCAGCTCGGTGCATCGCGCTTCGTCCAGTTGCAGACCCAAGAGGATGCGAGCGGCCATCCGGAAGGTGAGCGCTTTGGCCGCCCCGTAGACAGCTACCGGTCCTCGGGCGGCGCACCAGGAGCGCACCTCTCGCCGCAGCGCCCCCTGCAGCCGTGGCACGAATTGTTCCAGAGCCGGGCGGCTGAACACGCGCGCCAGGACCTGTAGGGAGCGCAGATGAGCGCAAGGCAGGCTGGCCTCTTGAGCTCCGCGACTCCGCAGCCTGAAGGGAAAGTCCAGTCCCTTTTTCCTCTTCTGAGACGCACAGGCCTAAACTTGCTGGCTTAGTTTCCTCCACTTTGATGTACAGAGTCCCTCCCATCCAATCTAGGCTCCAAATGGTAGCTGTTCCACAAAGTCGTCCCTGAACCCTCTTAAATCTGAATCCCCAAAACTGTTAGCACCTGTTACAGAAGATCTGGAATAAAGAACTCGTAGCCCTGCTCTTACTTTACAATTCAAAACCCGGAAATCTAACGAGACTTGCCTGGGGCCACCTGTTCCTTTATAGCGGAGACCCTGGTCTGGCTCACCGCAGGCAACCAGGCACCACGGATCTTAATTCCTTTGGTTTTCCCCTCACCTTCCGCCGTTGCCGATGGGGCTCGCCAACCGCGCCGAGGAGTGTGTTCGAACCTAGCAGAATGTGCGCGCTCTGTGGCCACTGGCTACGCACCAGGCGGTGCTCGCCCAGCAAGATGGTGCGCACGTTCTCCGCGCCGCTCACGCGGATCACTGGCCTGCCCAGAAGGTGCGTCTTAAACACTGTCCCGTAGCGCTCGCGGCGGGAACTGTGGAAACGAGGGCCCTGCGAGCAAGGCGGAACTTGAAGGGCCTCTGTGCCAGCAGGGCTGAGGATCCGTCCCGGACATCCCAATTGCTTCTTCCTAACAACTCCCCTGTCCCAGGCTGTCACATTACAAAAAAGCCAAAATTCCAAATGGGCCTCTCAGCTACACTACGGGAAAGTAGACGCCCACTGGTAAAATAAGATTGAGGCTTAGATTGGAAATGAGTGCCCAAGAGCGCAAGGCTGAGATGTGGCTCGCTTTTCGGTCTGTGCTTGCAAGACTGTAGGTACCACGTTCCTCAAACGCCCCTCAAACGCCCCCTAAGTCCCTGGTTTACACCCACGATTTATCAGAAGGGTTTAAATCGGGGACATGGGGTCTCTTAGAAGGAACAGAATAGCTAGGCAATGGCAAGCGTTTTAGTACTCATCAGAATCCTGGGCAAGGGAATTCTTATGAAGTGCCCTGAGAACCAAGAGTGCCCTTCGGATGAGAGATGCAGAAAGGGGGGCATTGCTGAATGATAAAACTGCTCACCTGAACCAACCAGTGCAGCGTTTCACCGAAGAATGGCCAGCCCATGGAGCCCTTGGGTAGGGGCAAGGCGGAGGCCCGATCCCGGCTCAGAGTCCAGCGGAGGGTCCAGAGGTGTTGGGCCAGAACAAGCAGCAGACCGGCACATAAGAGAGCGGTGCCGCCAGCCCCCAGCACGGATAAGCAGTTCAACCCCCAAGAAAACATGGCGAGCAGAGAGGGCTCAATAACTGTGCAGAGCTCACCTATCCCGTTCAGAAAAGTCCTGGGGTTAGGGACCAAGCCGGAGATTAATAAATTCAGACAAGACTTCCGCTCTTAAAACAAGACTGTCAGTGGAAGGCGGCAGTGACCCTGAGGCATTTAAGAGAATTCTCCTTCCTCAAGACTGGAGGCCCAGGGCATTTTCCCTATTTCAGTCAAAAAGTGCCAGCCTCTTCATGGTGGGCCGTTTGCCTCCGGAATGCCCCTACATTCTCGGATCTGCGCTCCTAGTGCAGAAGCTGCGGGAGAGCCTGAGAGAAACAACTCACCGCGCTGCCAACCCGGGGCTGCAGACCCCTGCCCACCACCTTCTCTCCTCCACTCGGTTAACCCTTCTCTGCCTACCCTCCACACTTTATATAGATACTGCCTCCCTCCCTACGGACTGGTCCTGGGTCACACAATGTGACGCGCCTACGCATATTTAAAGTGTCCCATTCGGAGTAATGATTGGAAGCAGTGGGCAGTGGCGGGCTCACCTCGTGAGCCAAATAGGGAGTGGCATCTGGGCGGGGGCCGTGCCCCAGGAGCATCCTCGGGCGGGGCCTGCGGTTTTGCACTGTAACTTCCCTGCTCTTGGTGCAAGAATATAGCCAGCGTGAGAAACCCACATGAAGTAGACACTCTGCATGCTCCAGGGCATGCTCTTGGCCCACCTGTCCCCAGCTATCTGCTTCTTCTCTGGTCCCCCACCTTCCAGTCTCAAGAATCCTGGAGTTTTGCTTCCCTTTGCTTGATCTCTTTCAGGGAATGTGGGTTTTGACACTAGCGTTCCAGAGGGATAGCTGGGGCCCAGTTCTCTGACCTCTGCTCCAAGTTCTTCAATCAGTCACTTTAGGGAGCCTTCAGGAGATGGTAATTTCACTGCCCCCAAAATTCACAGGGGCGGGTGCCCAAAGTCTTCCATTATCCTGGCACAGCTCTGGTCTCAGAACCAACCCATTTTTTCACTGCATTGCCCATCTCCACAGTCTGCCAGACTCCGCCCCTTCCCCACCAGCTAACATCTTGAGCTTTGTGTCTCACTCCAGGCTACAATGCCTGTAGGTCTATCTGCCTGATAACAATGCAATCTGGGTGTGCGTGTGCGTGTGTGCGTGTGTGGTGTGTGTGTGCGTGCGTGTGTGGTGTGTGTGTGTGTGTGTGTGTGTGTGTGTGTGCATGTGGGGGGGGGCATGTGTGTAGAGGTATGGAGGTGACCTAGTTTTCTGGAAAGGGTACAGAGGAGCCCTTATAAGGAAGGGGGAGTCTGCTCTAGGGGATATGGAGGTTCCTCTTTCCAAACCCCCAGATGCCTGGGTCAAAGCCAGAGCCTTCCCAAGTACCCAGAGAGTGAGGGTACTCCAACATCTTCAGAGCGCCCTGCTCCCCACATCTAACTCAAGTATAGAATGAACTGTGTCTGAGGTATTATCGTATTTTCATGTAATGATTTTAAAATGTTAAATACTTGGAGTATTTTTATCAAGAGAACAAATCTATTTTGTTTTGTGTCATGCACAATCTGATCATTAGGAAATAACAGGCCTTTTCTGGAGGAGGCTATTTTAAATAAGAAACTCTGAATATTTGAAATAGCATCTTCAACCGCTCTCAACCTTTTTAATGTTTTATCACAAAATCCAGACATGTAAGCATAACTCTTCATACTTATTTTACAGAGTCAGGGTGTCTACAAGCATAAATCCTGAAAATGCAAAGGGGAGGGGGTTCAGCATAATTACACTGGGAAGAAAACAAAGATCAGGTTTACATTGTCACTGTGCCACTGTGCTTTATCCAAAGGAAAGTGTACACTGGCTGTAGGCTTCAGACTTCAGTCGGTCTGGTTAGTTTCCACGGTCCACGGCCTTGAGATCTGCTCTCTAACTAACTCGCACAGCCACACCTGATGGAAACAGCCCTTTAACTGCCTGCTCTTTTCATCTAAACCAAACTAAAACTTTAAAAACGGGTCAACTGCAAGAAATACAACATCTTTGGAAAACCCAAACTCTTTCTTCATATTCCGAGTGGTTAAGCTACCCAAGTTTATGTTCCTGGTGAACTGTGTTTGATTTCAGGAACTTTCAAGATTTGTGTATTTCCTCCTCAGAATCGGCAGAAATAAAAAATTTTAGGCACATGAGTCAAACTGAGGTGAAAATAAGAGCTAAAAGTCCAACAATGACAGCCAAGTATCCCCTTCTCAGCAGCAGCTGCAGCCCAAACTGTAATGGCATAAACAGGAGCTCTTTCAAGCTTACAGAAAGAATACTTAACGAGCAGAGACATGGGTTTTTCTAATATTTGCAATCAGTTTCATATACAATTTATTGGATTTATATATTACATTTTTGACTTTTCCTCTGAAATTGAAAAAAATTAATCTTACATTTTATATATAAAATAGTATTCAATTATTTAAAAATCCATACAAATGATGTTTGTCACCATTACTTGTTTAAGCCCTCATCAGTGTATTTCCCCTACTGTGTTTTTACTTCTGTAAACAAATTCTTGTCTCACAAGCAGTGCTGGCCACAGAGACGCACTCGGCTGTGGACCTGGTGTGTCTACACGTGCTGGGACATACCAGTCACCAAGGCTCGGAGCTGTCTCACGACCGTCTCTATCAGCTTCTGCCTGTCTCGGTCATTCTTCCGGAACTGGGCGAATATGTTATTCTTCTTACTGGTGTCCTTCATCCTACAAACACATACAGACATAAATGCTGAAAAAGAAAAGCTGCTGCCGATGACTTCTCTCTCTCTCTCTTTCTCTTTCTCCTCTTTTCTTTTCTTTTTTTTTTTTTTTTTAACATGATCTGCCTTATCCAACACCAGCTCAGTGCTTGAAAGGAAAACCTGTGCTATCAAACTTCCGAACACAGGAACCAGGCAGAGACAGAAAATGATGGTCTTGCACTAACACACAAATCTAAGACACAGCTGTCAAACACCGTGTTGTTTTCAAATATCTATTCGAATGCCCTGCATGGGCTGTAGCACACATTCACAGCAAGACCACGTGAGGGCAGAAGTGGGACATTTTAAAATGTAATGTTTTTGCCTCAGCATTTCATGGCATTATAAAATCACTTTATATAAATTGTGTATAGTTTCTTACATCCTTTCAAATAAAATAACCACAGATACTTTGAAATTTGGGAAAACAGACAATACTAACACAAAACTGTACATTTTAATAGTTACATTTTAAACAAGCTATGACTGAGCGCAGAAAAGGTTTGACACATAATGCAGGAAAAGGAGCACTGTGTTTGCTGTCCCACTTTTTACAATATCATTTTCTCAAATCATGTCTTTCTCTACCTTCAAAGAATCCAAGACTTAGATACTACTGAGGCAAACATTCCATTCCGTGGCCCTATTTTATTTTATTTTATTTTAAGGAGCCCCATTTTCTCTCCAGTCGAGGGAATGGACTCAGGCCCTAGCACAAAGCACTGAACAACTGTGCTAAATAGTCCAGGCTTCCAGTAACATATGTATAAAGCAAACTGAGCCTGAGATGTTTGAAATACATTAGGAAGAAAGAATGTTTTCCTCACATACATAATCAAAATAATTCTGAAAGGCAAGAAAGAGACATCTTTTGATCATCACACGGACTGAATTTCTCCCCCCTCCCCCCCATGTTTCACTCACGATCCTCACTACAGCCTCAGCTCCCCCAAACTCATGATCCCCCGCCTCAGGGTCGGCACACACCTCATACCTGGCTGTACTGACTTTTTAAAAACTCCATTGAGATATTTTTGTTTTGAAAATTTCTAGTTCTTTATCATGCAATCAAACCCTATGTAAAATGCTACCTAAAATAAAAACAGAAACAACTTTTGGGAACATACTCACTTCTCCAAAAGTGTAAGGGCCGTGTGAGGATTCACACGAAGGTACTTGGAGGCTGGCTGTCCATAGTCAGCGAGGTAAGTGGACCAGTCCCAAACCATAAACAAGTCAAGGAGCTGAGGAAGAGAGTGGAAACATCATGTCAGCTTTTGGACAGCTACCCACATATAAATGAAGAATATGCTATTCTCATGTCCACATGATTTTCTTTTTACAATAAAATAAGGAAATTCATTTTAAGAACATTACTAGTGTACTTCACAACCAAAATCATGTTCATATTTTTTATTTTGGAATTGCTAAAATCATCAGTGGCTGCTGCTCTAAAGATTTATGACACTTCCATGTAACTGTATGGCACACTCTCACAATCATGTCCACACCTGTACTGATGCTCACAGCTTTTATCTTTGTGTACTACCTGCGACTCAGGCGGCACGGCTCGTGCCACTGTGTGTAGGATTGGAAAGAACTGTGTTTACCTTTCAAAGAAGCTGTTTACAACCTGACTTTCCGAAAGTAATTTAGAGCAAAAGCTCAGATAATCTCAATGAAGTGCATTACACAACCTCTGCTGGATTCTCCTCGGTGAGAGATACCGTGATGGTATCTGGGCTTCAGGACTCGGCTTGTTAACTCTAGCCAATCATTTTGTGTAAACAAACAACAACAACAAAAGACATTCTCTATTTTCCATAGTGTGTCTCAAAACTGACAATTTGCTTTATAAACTCCATTTAGAAGCATTGTCAAATATTGTTATAATCTTTTAAAAGCAACGCCAGGCCTAACCCAAAGCATCCAATCCTTAACCACCTTTAAAGGCCCTAATCCCTTTAAGCCGGTTAAAGCCCACTTCCTATTCTCCCCATCTGAACTGTTTCAGGAAGCTGGATGCTTTACTTAACTATCTCCTCAGTTTTTTATATACTTTTAAAAACACACTTCATAAATAAGGGTTCTCTTGGTTTTGCTTTCACATGAAGGAAGCACTTATATTTACTTACAGGATGTGTGCGTGGAACCAGTAACTAGAAGATGAATAAAAACATTTAAGGTAATTAAAGCCACCAAAAAGAAAAAACAAAAAAGATTAGGAGAAACCAACTTTTTCTTGGAAAGGTGAGGGCCTGTTTGACTCTGGTTTTCTCCATCAGTGTGCAACTGTTATGCAGACACTTGTAAAAGGTTGGAAGTGCAATAATGAAAATAGTAACGACTAATGGTTGCTCTGGTTTTTTTTCCCACAACAGAAAGTGAAACACTGTTATAGAAACTCTAATAAAATAATTGAAAAGGGTACTGTCTGATAATAAAAAGAGAATGTGTGCATGATTTTTCATTGTTGTTTGGTAATATATTTTCCCAAGGGACATTAATTCTCATATACTTGGATGATGATAATGTGATTTACAGACTATCATCTACAATGGGCTTAAGAACCATAAAACAGTGATTTTCTTTGGATTGGTAATAATACTTATAAGAGAGGAATTATAGGAAAAATAATAAGGGATGGCAGAAAGCCATGCACAGAGATAATAAGCGCCAACATTTTTTATTAGGTTACAGAACAAATTAGAATAGTCTACTCCATATCAAGAAACACGTGCCTAGTGTGCGCGAGGTCTAGGTTCAATGCCCAGCACCACCATAAGGGAAAAAAGATAAACTGCTAACAGTAAGGTAGAATGTACAGAGACTATCACATACTTCATAAAAGCATCTACATAAAATTTAAATGGCTTAGGAAGATGATTATAATGTATATTGCTACTTAATTACAGAAAACCCCATAAATAGAAGAAAATTTGAAGATATGCCAAAATGGTATCATTTTTACAGTGGGGTTACAAATAACTCATTTTCTTTATTGTCCTAATATTCTATAGTAAGCATGCTTTACTGCTAGAACTAAAGATAGCATCATACTTCTGTTAAAATGTTAGCAGTCTCTACAGTGTCGGCAGCAGTCTCACTGTGAAGGCTCCTCTGTCTGGTCTATGTGTGATTCTCCATGTGAATGGGGTCATTCCCACAGTCTGCAGAAAGTAACCACTACACACTGGCTGTGACGTGCCTTTCTTCAAGGGCATTAGCCAGTGACCTTTGGGAAAGGAAGAGTCTGTCAGTGAGGCTGCTTCTCTCTTAGGCTGCACTACCCTCTCCAGGTGGGGAGAAAGAGCCCGTCTACTGCACCAACCAACCACAGCTGTGAAGACCATGGCCCTTTTCCGGCAAAGAAAGTCTTTCCTAAATAGAA